TCGTACTCTGTAACGAAAAAACGGTATCGGTGCATCCCTAAAATAATCCTAATAAAACTAAAGAAAAGAGTTTGCTGCTCTCAGAGGAGAGAAGACATCTGTTCTCCTAGAACATAACCAAATTGCAGCAGCATAACCCAATGTACTGGAAATACTTCATGCTGTATCCATCTCTTAATGCACAACTAAAAATAGGGTGGTTTTAAATACACTTTAAAATTGTATTTTCTCCTGTTCTGGTGAGCGTATCATCACATTTTATTAAACCGTGTAAACTGCTTTACTCTAATGTGATATCCTTTTTCTTTGGGGGGTTTCTAAGTTTTGATGCTTCTGTGTACAATAGTGGGTAAAAAAAGTTGAATGGCGTAGAGAACCGATACCCAAGTAAAGCAAGGCGGTTTGTTGGGCACTTTGAATTCAATATGGTTTGTTGTTTTAGAGTTCTTCTGTCACCACTCTGTTGGTGAAGTTGTACACCTTCCTATGACTTGAGCAATATATCTCTTTTTGATATTATTTGCCATCAAAGCCTGGACCATACTAGGACACAGCAGCTTGTGTGAAAAACTGGAAAATTCTGATATTGAATTTTATCGGAGCAAACTTCTTTTTTGGCACATATCGCTACTTACTGTCCAGTCTGGAAATCCTTTTCACTGACCACTGCGCAGTTGGTGAGGGAGAGCTCGTCCGTAGGACATCGCGCTGCTTGCATAGTCTGTAGGTAAAGCATAGAGATCTTGTTAATTATAGTGCAACAATACAATAATAATAATTATCTGCTCCAGAGGTTCATGTATTATTTAAATCTTTGGCATGGGGAATATTTTTTCTTGTTTTATCCCTCTAGTCAATAGCTTACTTTTTACCCAATCGTAACCATAAACGTAGCTTGGCAATAATCAGATATGAAAAAAAACAAAAACATGGCAAAAAACTATGCATAACATTGACGCACAGCAAGCAATACGCTTACAGTTCTTGAATAGTACAAAACTGCACAAGACAACTGCCTGACGCTTGCTATGGATTACTGCATTATATTGGTCTTTACAGAACGATTTGACACACCAGCGTGGCTCAGCATACAGAAAAAAAGAAATATGGAATGGGAACAGGAAGCTTACATTCTCTTCTGCCAGAAAAAGGATATCAAATCGGAAATTATTTATCATACATTGGCTTCCACTTTAACAGCCACTAAAAATTAAAATAAAAGCAAAATGCTCTGCTAAATAAAGGCAGTCCCCGGGTTACAAACAAGATAGGGACTGTAGGTTTGTTCTTAAGTTGAATGTGTATGTAAGTTGGAACAAGTACATTTTTTTAAGTGTAACTCCAGCCCCCAATTTTAGTTTTTTTGTTTTGGATAGCATAGGGAAGGGTTAACCCCCTGTAAAATTTTTTTGCTGTGTGTGCCCCTGTTCAGAAGATTTCACCTCACTTTCTGTGACAATTGAATTTAGAAATGTTTTGGTTGTTTCCTTGTTGGAAACAAGGATTGGTGATAAAGCTTCAGTGGAGACAACTTTTTCCCATGATCACTCTTACAGGAGTGAATTTTGTTTTGCCTCAAGGACAGGAAGTGAGATTAAATCTTTCTAATGAGGATACAGGCCACGATTGGCCAGAAAGCCGACTCCAAGCTTTCTTGTCACCTGGTGACGAGGGAACATGGAGACAGCTTCCCAGCTAATCAGGAAGCCAGGCAGCGAGTCATTACACACCGCCCAGCTTCCTTAATGGGACTTCTGCAATCCTGTATTTGGTATCTGCGAGTACAGAAAAAATAAAATATCGGTACTCGATACCGAAAAAACGGTATCGGTGCATCCCTACTATAAATACAATCACAAAACAACAACTGAGCATGCCCTTCTCTCTATTAACCCACAAAAAGGGAAAAGGAAGTGATGACACAGGAAATAGGAAAAAAAAAATGCATGAAAAACTCACACATCAACAGATGTCACTAAAATGTATGTAAATGAATGTGTCAATGAACTTCAAGTCACCTTCATATTCATGAGTTTTCATGCATGTTATGGTGTGAATGATCCCTCAACTATAGCCTGCTGTACCCGAAGACCAACGCATGAATCTGCTTGTGTGAGAAAGCCTTCAGCATCTTGTTATTTGTTGTATATGGAATTTACAGCAGCTCCCACCACCGTCTGATCACATGAAAACTAAAGAGACCTTTAAAGCTTTGCAGCCTCCACACGCCTGAAAAGAACATCAATACTTGGCATTAAGCTCAAATCATTCAAATCCCAATGCCATTTCAGCCGCCTCACTCAGCTCCTGACAGCCCCCAGCATCTCTCCATCAAGGCAATACTTAGTCATTATTCCGCAAAAACGTGCAGTTGATTCAATGACTTATTGATTGTTCTTCCAGCGATGGTTTCACGCTGGAAATATTAGAAACCCTGGCATGAATAGGAGAGGAAAAAAACCAATAAAAAAAGGTCCACATGGAGATTATCAACAGCCATGACAGATGGGGTAATTTGGGGACATTTTTAACCACATCTGCCTTTCTTTCTACCCATGTTATAGCCTGAGGATCCACGTCACTCCTGATCTTTTACTGCCAGGATTAAGTGTGATGAAATGTATACTGAATATAAGATGATTAGGAACCTATGTTGTACACCAGCAATCAGCTATTGTAACGCAGAACTGGGAGGGGGCGGTAGAGACGGTAACACTAAGGTCACAATCAGGAACACAGGTCAGATCATCGGCTTGTCCGACGCAGAGGGAATAAAATCCTCAAGGCTTTAGATACATCTCTGTAATCGGCTGACCGATTAAGACCATAAGCTTGTGAAAGTGGACATCATATCCCTCCCCATCTTCTTCCTCTGAAGGCCTGTCTGGGAGGCCTCCATACAACTGCAGTAATGTAATCTAACCTACAATTCCCAAGTGATGTAAAGCATATGCTTACATTAGAGCTGGACAGATCAAAAAAAGGCAAGCGGGCCAAGGCAGCTGAAAAATAGATGAATTTAAGGCAAATTTGGAAATATACAGAATATATACACGTAAGCTGCCACAGGATTTGCCATTCTAAAAATAGCCAGTCTTATGACTCCCCTAGTAGACAACAGAACCAGTTCCTGGACATCTCTATAGACTACATCGCAACATTGTGATATACCCTGTCCCAGAACACGCCTGCAGTTGGCGTTCTCCTTTCACCAACACCATCACTGTCCAAGAAAAAAAAATTCTAGAAAAAGTTCCCTGCAAAAAAAGAGGTATGACCTCTACGGTGGCCTATACACTTATGGCCCATACCACCAATCTTGATTCCAATGAACTCTACAGCCTCCATCAGAATCTTCAAGATTCAACGCTTTCGGGAACGTCAGATGCCAGTGCCCCCCGAGCTGTATGTTGTGACTCTATCCTCTGGCCCCTATGTCGCTACAGGACATAGCAGATATAGCAGTAACTCTGTAGTTACAGGAGAGAAATCCTGTCTATTTCAGAGAAGGAAGTTGCATTATGTCATAACAGGAAATGCACAAGAAGTATTTGAAACGTATTCGCTATCTGTACTTATCAGAGGAAATAAAAAGTGCAAGTTGGAATTTAAACTCATTCAATCATCTGAGCCTACCTGCTGAGTGGATCCAAGTCTCACTCTGGAATCTGCCTTGCCCTGCTTCTTCCCATACTCACTAATTGTCTGTCTACAGCTACCAGTATCTTTCAAATGCTCTACTCAAGACCTGATCTTTAACATTTTTAAGCATGAGAGCTAGGTCTGCCTCTTGAGTATGCAGCATTGACTTAATGCTAGTCTGTGATAACCATGGTCAGCGAGTGATCAGAGATGAGGCAAGGGAGATGGTGCTTTGCTTGAGCTCTCCATCCAACTACATGCAGAAAAAGGCAGAGGGGCTCCATCGCTGAGAAAGACTTTAGATGTAGAATATTTTAGTTATGGAAAGGTGCCAGGGAGGTTGGCTCTGACAGTTAATCAATCCTTTTAATAAGTCTGCACGGACCGAAATGAGGAAAAATTTGAAAAGTTGACTAGTCTCTACAGTACAGGCTTTTAATTCTGTCTTCTCGATTTCACTGTGGAAATGCTGATCACGCAGTATCCAACGTAATGCAATGCCTTCTTTACTTTTAACTAAAGCTGAGAACATGAACATTAAAAACAGTGGAATGTAATGAAGTAAACATTATTCCTTGGGATATTTAAAGTAACCCTGTTGCAAAATTAAAAAGTAGAAACAAATACCACCCTGTAGAGTAGAAGTGTTATACTTACCCACCCCGCTGCCCACACCACCCATCTTTGTTCTCTCGAGAGCTACGGTGCTCGGAGAACCTTCACCTGTCAAACCCAGGAACCCCCCCCTCAAGTGCTGTTGTTCCTTCTACCAGCCCCTACGTCATTACTGTGTCCTGCAACGGTGTAGGGGCCGGGAAAAAAGAACCACACAGTGCTCAGCGGGGGGCCCAGGAATTCGGCACTCCCAGACATGTGACAGATGAAGATTCTCAGGGCACCGTAGAGGATGACGATCGGTGGCATGGACAGCAGAACATATAAGATTAATATCTCATCTTTACAGAAGAATATTTGTAGGGCTGCAACTAATGATTATTTTCATAAATCGATTAGTTGGCCGATTATTTTTTCAAATAATCGGATAAAAAAATTACTACATGAATACCATCCTTAAAAAGGAGAACTATGAGGTGAGTGCTTTTCACTCATACTCATAGTTTTAGCCGACCTGTGACAATGACACATACCGGCGTGGGGAGGGACTGGATTCCCCCCTCCCTGCTCCGATCCTCCAGCGCTGACTGGCGGAACGGACGGGGGAGGGGCCAGGTACAGCTGGCTCTGCCTCTAGATAGGCAGAGCCAGCTGTCACTCACGCAGCTGGGCGGATCCAGACATAATTGTCAGGATGCGTTTCAGCTGCGGCGTCTTATTTTCGGGGTAGGTCTGATTTTCGGGGAAACAGGGTACTACCTTTGGTCTGCTCAACTACTGTACCAGCTCACATGACCAAGTAATGAAGCAGGTGGTGTTGGTTTTGATAGGGACTTCTATATCAAGTTATATCAAACCAGAAGTAGACAAATTAAGCCAGCCTGTACAATCCAGGATCCAGCAGGATTTATTTTAGGAACCAGCTCCATTGACAACAACTAAAGAAAAGCTCCAAAGTTAGGTGCCAGCTGTAATTTGTAAGGAGCATTGGCTACCTGGCTCCTGGGATTTGCTTATCTCTGTGTCAGACTAGTGACCTAAATTATCAGTTTGCTTGATGTGGTATTTAACTACAGTCAACATAAACCTCTGCCACCAGCACACTGTCATTTACAATGGTCAATGTGACAAAAGTAGCTAAACTGCAATAAGCTTTAATTCACTGTAAGCCTGGTGTAAGAAGCTTGTTCACTGTGGGATGTTAAGGGTTTAATCTGGGGTGTCCCTACCTAGACAGCACAAGCAGAGCTTCTGATAAATAATGCAAATGGATTCTGAACAGCGACTGTTCCATCCTCCTACAGAAATCATTCTGAACACCCAGA